CCTCCCCGACTCCTTGCCCAAGCACATGCCCAGCCTGGTCAGCACACCTCTCTTCGCCTCTCCTTCCTTGCCTCATCTGGCTCCTTCTCCCGCCTAGGAACAGCATGAGAACATGTTCTGGCTCAGCCTTTGTGAGTTGTGCAACCTGGAAAATTAACAACTGTTCTGTGCCTCAGTTTTACCTTCTATACAGTGGGGGTGCTCAATCATCAAATGCCCTTCAAAGGTCACTGGTAGCCTCAAGTGAGGAAACACACACATTCAGATCTCGGATAGGACGTGTCACACAGTAAGTGCTTGAAAAGTCTTGTCTTATTAGGTTTGCTATTGCTGTTAATTGGGGTCCTGGTGTGGCACTGTGGGGTAAACACTGAACTGCAAGGTCTGTTTGAAACACAAGGTCGGCAGTTCAAACCCACCAGCTGCTCCTCAGAAACCCTATAGAGGGTCATTATGAGTCAGAACCGACTGAGCGGCACACAACAACAACAACAACAACACTGTTATGATTAGGTAGGAGTCCTGGTCACACAGGGGTTGAAATGCTTGCTGTTGGAACTCAGCAGCCCTGGGAGAAAGATGCTTCTGTAAAGATGTATGGCCTTGGACAACCTACAGGCAGCTCTGCTCCGTCCTCTAGGGTCACTGTGGGTTGGCATCAACTCCACAGCTCTGAGCTTTTGTTTGTTTCTTTCTTTTAAATCCTTTGGTCGATTAGTTGAGTGGACTTCTGGCTTGGTGCTGCAGGAAAAGCTCTGGACTGCTAACCTCATACAGGGTAGCTATGAATTGGAACCGACTCAATGGCACCTAAAAACAACAACAGATTGATCACCTTTTGTTCTCGGAGCAAGTTCCAGGGTCTCAAACATCTTCCCATGGGATTTCCCCAGACAAATTGAATTTTGGTGAATGAATGTCCCTCCTCTTTGGGTGCCTTTTTATCTTTCTGGCTGTGTGTCGAGACCAGGGTCACTAGGTATATTGTCCTGTCGGAAGAAGTCTGCCCCTAACTCTCTGGGGTGAGTAAGGCAGCTTGTGGAAGGTCACGTCCAGAAGAACGCTAAAGCAGCTGGGTTCTAGGCCAAAGGCAACTGCACTCGGCCTAGGGGAGGCTTGTCAACTCTCTGGGGAACTGTTTGGTGAGACGGCACTTTTCTTGGGCCTGGGTGCTCTTACAGAGGGGGCAGGCTGTGTCTCCAATGAGGCTGGACTGCTGGTCCTACCTGCGTGGTCTGTGGGGTGAGGCTGGTGGTCCATGCTGACCACCAGCCCCTACATTTACCTTCTATTCGCTGACAAGGGTGGTGGTCCCTGCATGCCAGTGCAGATCTGCAGGACAGGAGGATACAGGCCAGAGGGCCTTCTAACATCCTCCTACCTGAGGAGCCAGGGTCTCCCCCGTAGCCCCCCTGCAGGCTCCCTGAGCAGGGAGCTTGGGGGCCAGGCTCTGGAGCCCCCTGCTCCAAATACAGAGCAGAGTCCAAACCCTGTGGTCACCAACCTCAGGCTCCCACCTCCACTCTCTGGACTGCCCAACCGGGGCAGTGCTGAGGAAAACTGAGGAAATAGAGGGTCTGAGTCACATGGTAAGTAAGACCTGAATGGCAACTCTGTCTCTGGGTGCCTCCTCATCCCATCCCAGAGTTATTAAATAGTCAAATTCATTCTCCTGTCTGACCACAAGGGCCCGCCCCCTCGAGGCTCCTTTCAGCTCCTGGAGCACCTGCCCAGACAAAACAATGGACACGCTTTACTGCTAACCACAGGGTTGGAGATCTGAGTCCAACCAGAGGTATACTGGGAAAAAGTCTTGGAGATCTACTTTTGAAAATCAGCCATTGAGAATGCTATGGAACAATCTCCTACTCGGACACACAAGGGGGCGCCATGAGTCAGAGTCTGCTTGACCGCAGTTGCCCCTGAGGCCTCAGACCAGTGTCCACTCGATCACCGGAGGGGCCCTGGGAGGAAGCTCCATCCAGTTCAGCCCAGTCAGGAGGAGGTCTGACACCCGGCGGGACCATGCAAGTCCCGCTACACACGGATATTTCTACAGCAAGAGGACAAGGCCTTGCCGGAGCTGGGCTTAAAGCAGCCCCATGCCCACAGCTTCTTGTCCAAGAAGAGCACAACCTCACATCTGTTCCCTATATACTCCAGACTGACCCCCAGAGAGATTCCCTTCTGAAAGTTACAACAGTCTAGCTCTCTTTACCCACCTCTGCTCCAACTTTGCCCCAAAACTCTGTCACCAGAAAGTCGCAGAAATGCCATTTTGGCCTTCTTGGATTGATAGCACCAGCCCATGGGCCAGAATGGTGAGGGAGCGGCTTCTAGCAGCCCACAGGGAAGAGAGAAAACCTAAGGGGTCATTTGTTCTTCAGGAAGTAAACCATGTTTGGTTGAAAGGACTGGCTTTCATTTTTGCTTTGTTTGAGCATGTCCTTCTGAGGTTTTTGGAGTTACAGGGTATATAGTCTTTTCCATGAAATGAAGTGTTGAAGTTCTTAGTTTTTACATCTCACCAACTGGCAAGATAAAAGGGTGGCAATGCAAAGTCAGCAGTTCAAACTCAGCAGCCACTCCTTGGACACCCTCTACAGGGTTGTTGTGAGTTGGAACAGATTCGGCAGCACTTAACAACAACAACAGCAAACTTATAGGACCTGCAGGCTTTCGGAACACTTGGTCCATGATCTCCCATGTACCCTCGGGCACCCCAGCTGCCACAGAGATGATCCCAGGTGGGCAGCATGGGTTCGGTGGCTCAATGCAACTAGCAACATGGCGGATGCTGAGAAGAACGGCTTCTCTTGCAGAGGGGCTGAGTCTCCCTGGGCGGGGGCATCATGCCCTGGGACTTGGAGCTGAAGGGTCTTGGGGATAGAAGGATGCAAGGTCAAGGCTTGGGCTAAGATGATCGTGACCATTTGTGGGCCCCAAGGAGTAGACAGGGCACTTCTTTGAGGCTCTGAACATAGCTCTGAGCAGAGGCGGACATGGAGGGAGAAGAGACTAGGTGCAGTCCCAGTTTTGCACCCAGACTGCATGGTGGCCATGAACAAAGAAAGACTCAGCCTCTCTGAGCTCCGTCTGTTCTTTGGCAAAGTGAGAAGGCATGTAGATTAGAGACTCTCCAAGGCCTCTCCCAGGAGTCCTAGCCTAGGGCAAACTCTTCATGGGCTCAGCTACTGAAAGCTGGGCGGTTCGGAAGAAAGGTCTGGTAATCTACCGCTGAAAAACTTGTGATGGAAAACCCTACAGAACGTAGTTCCACTCAGACATGGACGGGGTCACTGTGACTCGTTTGGATGAAGGCCTCTCCCGGCTCTGGCTCTGGCTTGCTATGAGCCTAGATGTTAAGATGCCCACAGTGTGGATATAGAGAGGTTCAAATGCACCTAACAACGTACCCTAACAAGACACCCTAAACGTTACCTGACACCCTAAGCCAACACCCTACCATGACACCCCAACTTAACCCTCTAACCCAAAACCCTAGAACTAAGCTAGAGCTGAGCACAAGTGCCATACCCTTATCACAGGGTCACTGAGCCGTTCAAACTCTCCCTGTGATGAAGCAGAACATCAGCCAAGGTCCCACCAGACAGGAGAGAAGTCCCAGTGGCCCCTCCACCCTTTCTAATGCTCCACTAGGGACCCCACAGAGGATGTGCCTGTGGGGAGGCCCAGAAAACCTACATCCCTTCCTTGAGCATGTGAGTGGGGGAGTAGGAAACCACTTTTGGGGGTGGTGCCGCCAAGTGAGTCAGACAGGAGGCTTCCAACAGCTGCAAGTCTGGGTTGTTTTCTAAATACTCCCAAGTGACCCTGTAAATAGCCTGGCTTCCCTTGGGTCCCCCCTAAATCTGCACCCACACCCAGCTTGACTGAGGCAGGAGTGGGTAAATGGGACCATGTGGTGGTTTCCACCTCAGCCTCTGGGGGCAGGTGGCCTGGGTTTTGACTGTCCGAGTCTGAGTTTCCTCATCTGCAGCGTGGGGGTATTCCCAGGCCCTGGAGCACAGGTTGGCCTGAGGGTTGAACCAGAAAATGTGCAAAACAATATGTACTACAGCAGGTCCAAGCTGGACCCAGAGTGAGCCTTGCAAACGTGGCTTGTGTCCTGAAAGCCGCTTTGCTCTGGCCTGGAAAAAGGCAGGTCATTTCTGCAAATCCAGCGACGCAGCTGGGGCTCAGGTGGGCACACTCTGCCCCCTTTCTGCGTCCGGACACTGCCTACCGGTCAAGTGAAGCAACGCTCTGACCGCAGGGCTGCAGGGGGAGGGCAGTCTACCTTCAAAGCCGGACATGAAGGTCGTTCTAGTCAAGGGGGCTTCAGAGAGGGGCTAGTAGCTTGGTGATCAGCACAACTGGCTCATTTAGAAACATTCCAGAGCAGTGGAGTTGGGGACTGACCAGGGGAGGAAGACAGATGGTATGAGAAGACCCCCTCAAACTCGGAGACAGAACTTTCTCTGCCCTCACTGAATGTGTTCTCACTCTTTATCTGTGAGTCCCCAACAACAGTGTCTACCAGGATTCCAGGGACTGTGTCCAGGGAAGGGCACCCTCAGGCCACATTCACTCCCCAGTAGGACTCAGAACAGGCAACTTTGCCCAGCACCTGGGCTGAACACACCCACCTCACAGCACCCTGAGCTCCTGGACCTCGTCCTGGCCCCTGGAGGCCCCAGGAAGTCTGTGGACCACAACTTGATGTTAGCAGGACTGTGGGACCAAGCCCTGGGGTGGCTCTGAAGAAAATTTGCTACGACCAGACCTTTCAACTTCACAGTCCAGCAGGTCAAAAGTGGGCCCCAGCTGGACCTACCACAAACCTGGAGCCTTTGTGATGAGGCCATTGTGTTCAGTGACATAAGCCAACTGCCCAGAACCAGGCCCAAACTGCTGGGGCGAGGTGAATCCCACCCACCTGAGCCGTGTCTGGGAAGGAGAGGAGGAGGTGTGGAAGCCGGGCTGGAGGGTATACTTACAGCACACAGAGGGCGTAGGCCCGGGAAATGGACTCGCTGGCACGCACGAGGAAGCTCCCATCCTTGCCCGTCCTAGCCAGCAGTTCCTCTGCCTTGGAGCGTGTGATGTTGCCATGATTCCAGCAGGGCACCATGGCGGGCAGGGGCCTGCTCGGTGGGCCAGCGGCCACCCCCAACTCACACGCCACTAAGGGGCAGCTGAGCGCCCAGTGCTATGACCTGCCGTCTATCCCCTCTCGGCTGCTGTCTTGGCGGCTGCCACCAACTCACTAACTTGTTTCCTGTTTCAGAGCTCAGTGAGGGAAAGGAAATTGAGTTGCAGAGAACTTCCTCATTACAGAGACCAAGAGGGAGAGAGAGAGAGAGAGCAGGCCTGGCTGGCTACCCCTTTCCCTCCCCGACCACCACCTCGCCACCTTCCCTCTGTCTTGCTCGCTAGCCCCTTCTCTTTTTGGTCAAGGGGTCTCAGCCTCCAGCAAAAGTTCTCCTGGTGGAATCAGAGGCTCTTTTGGAGTCTGGGGCTCAGGACTAGCTTCTGAAGATGTGGGCCCCAGCAGGTTTGGATGGGCCAAAGTAGTGACCTCAAAGTCTTGTGGGGTGCCCTGTGGATGGCCACACCTTGGCTGGCTCATCTGACTTCTGCACCCTCTGCCCAAGGTACCCAAAACATTGGGGAGCATTGAATTTGCTCCCCCCCACACACACATTGGAGACTCATATTGTTCTAGGTGCCCAGAGAACCTTGGCCACCATCACTCGAGGCCTCAAAGATGCCAGCTGGTGGTTCCAAGACACCTACCTGCCCACTCATTCTGAGGGTCTAGGAGTTACAAAGAACTTGTTCTCCATGGCATGGCTGTTCTGCCCCTGGACCCCAAGTCATCACGTTCCAGCTCATAAACAAAGGGAATACAGGTGAATATGAGAGGTAGGTTGTTCATGGCACAAGTGTAGGCTCAGTGTTCACCTCTGGAAGCAAGTTCTAAGAGGAAGCCCACATCCCTACAGGGCAAGCTGGATACCAGGTCAAAGGCCTCCATGCACTCCTGGTTATGGGGTTCAGTAGACGTGGGGTTGACTAGTTGAGCTGAGTCTCCTCCTCTGGGGCTGGCTTGAAAGTCAATCAGTTGGACTTGGCCACCTCCATTGGGCATGGCTCTGGGATTGACCAAGCCTCTTCTTTCTGGTCATGGTTTCAGGGTGGCTGCCTTGGAGGGTCACCATCTGTATTAGCAGATTGCCAAGGGCTCTAAAAAGAGCACTGGAACTAAGACCCCAGACCCCTTAGACCTCAGTTCTCACCCACCAAAGGGGAAGAGGAAAGTGCTGGCCTATGACACATGTGGCACCTCCCCCCAATCCCACACCTGGGCTTTGTTCCCCAGGACATGGCATCAGAACCCCTCTAGGACCCATGTCAGGTGGGCCTCTTCAATTCCAGCTTCCCAACCTTAGGGCTGTAGGACCTGGGCCAAGTCCCTATCTCTCCCCTTTCCCCTGTAATGTGGGGAGTCATCCAAAGGCGTCCATGCCAGTGGAGGTGTGAGCTGGGCTGGCAGCCCTTCAGGCTTTAGCAGAGACACACTGGCGGGTCTATACACTGGACACTCAGAGATGTCAGCAAAAGAAAGTGACGACATCATATAATTCACAATAAAACATTAAAAAAAAAAAGAGGGAACCTAGATCCAGAGGGCATGGAGGAAGGTAGAATCTCCACTGAGTACTATCCAATCTGTCTAGGCGGGGCTGATGAAATGAAATGCAGATAGGTCTCTTGTGATACAATAGTGAATAATTGTTACCAGGACTCATTGTGAAGGTTGTAAATGTAAAAGTAGACATTTTGTGGCAAGGAGGGGAGTGATTAACTTTGCAGGCTAGGAGCGGAGGTCCCTGGGACCATGAAGGGAGAAGAGTGGAGAGCAGGACCCTACCCAGAGAAGCAGCGATCCCCAAGATGGAGGCAGGGGTGATGACGTGGAGAGATGGAGCAGCTGGGGACTAGGGACACAGGAAAGGAAGAGGGGGGGAGGATTGTAGAATGTACCCTTTTGTTGATTGGTAATGCGTGGAGGGGATTGTAACCATGGCAATGAAACAATATGCAATAGGTTGAATGTAAAACTGATGTTCTCCCATGTAAACTGTCACATAATTCACAATAAAACTTTATAAAAAAAAAAGAAAGAAAGAAAGAAAGAAAGAAAGAAAGAAAGAAAGAAAGAAAGAAAGAAAGAAAGAAAGAAAGAAAGAAAGAAAGAAAGAAAAAGAAAGTGATGAGGCTGCCCACTGCTGGGAAAAGGATCCCATTAGAAGGTCCCAGATACAGTGGGAGAAAATGTGGAACAAAACTCAAAATTATAACAAAGACCAGGCTTACTGATCAGAAAGAGACTAGGGGGACCCGAGACTATGGCCCTCGGCCACCTTTCAGGTCTAGAAGGGAACTCACCCTTTTGGCCCAATTTTCAGACGAGCAATAGACAACACTGGTAAGGTCAGCTCCCCATGGAATGGTCAGCCATTCAAGGTCAAAAGGGCACCATTTCCCTAAGGACAGAGTTGAGAAGGATGGGAAGGTGGGTGGGATGGAACTAGGAACCGCAGGGAGGAAGTGGGATACTGTTTTTACACAGAGGGGATAGAATCATTGAGATGAAACAAAGTGTTGAATGTAAAACTGAGGATCTGCTCTGCAAACCTTCATTCAATCCGCAATAAAAAGTTTCAGAAAGAAAGTGCTGTCTTTTGAGGGGGATTAACCCTGGATTGGCCCTTCCCCCACCTCTCAGCAAGGAGACAAAGAGCTGTGGGTAGGGGACCGTGTACTTGTGGGTGAGTTGGAGGCAGGGAGCTAACTCAGATCTGAGACTCAGAAATCACTCCCCAATAGGAGCCCCCTCCCTAAAGACAGGCACCAGGGGTCAAGGCAGACAATGTCTGTGTGCCTCCTCTGCACGTGTTTGGACCACCGAGCATGACTTCATCACACTGCGGGGGGTAGGGGTGGGGGCTCCAGGCAAAGGTTAATCCTCCATCATCACCCCCACCTTCCCAAAGCCCTCCCAAGCTGTTGTTCCAAGCTCTCTCCTTCTTGCGACTGAACCCAGGGACTAGCAGCCTAAAGCCTCCGTCAAATTATTGACTAGAAGAAACGAATCTGAAAAAGTGACATGATGCCAATCATATGACATTCTGGGACAGGCAAAGCTAGAGAAACAGAAAACTCTGTCCTTGTCATGGGTTCATGGGAGGACGCATGAGGAGCGGAGCACAGAGCATTGTAGTACATGATTCAGAACCGACTTCACGGTACTTGACACCAACAAGCTATTCTAAGGAGCCCCAGTGGCACTGTGCATTAGGCATTGGTCTGTTAACTACAGAGTTGGCAGTTCAAACCCACCAGCCGCTCCTTTAGGGAACCATGAGACTGTTTGCTCCTGAAAGATTTAGTCTCAGAAACCTTGTGTAAGGTTTTATGTGGCGCTGGAGGATCAGCACTGGACTGTGAACCACAAGGTTGGACATTGAAACCCACCTCAGAAACCTTATCCAGGGTCATTGTGTGTCGGAACCAATTCAACGGTACTTAACAACAACAATGAGTGGGAATTAGGTATGGTTTTAGGTTTGGGTAGCATGGGTTGAATGTTGGGCTGGTAACTAAAAGTCAGTGATTCAAACCCACCCACTGCTCCACTGGAGAAAGGTATGACAATCGGCTTCTGCAAAGATTTGTTGTTGTTGTTGTTAAGTGCCGTCGAGTCTGTTCCGACCCATAGAGACCCTGTACAGGGTTTCTGAGGCTGTAAATCTTTACGGGAGCAGAAAGCCTCATCTTTCTCCTGCAGAGCGGCTGGTAGTCTTGATCTGCTGACTTTAAGGTTCGGAAACCCCATGGGGCAGTTCTACTCTATCTTATGAGCTCACTATGAGTTAGAATCAACTTGATGGCAGGGGTTTGGGGGTTTTTGGTAGCTCTTCTTCCTGATGCTCTTAAGGTGGGAACATGATTTGTCAGCACCTGGAGCCCTGCATAGCACACAGAAAGAACTACATGATCAGTGTAGCTTCCATGGAAGACGTAAACGATGGACGGTAGTTATGCTTATTGTATCAGTACCGGCTCATCATTTGTAGCAGAGGCATCACACAGATGCATATTATTAATAATAGGGAGAACTGTGCTACCTATGCAAGTGTTTCCCTAAACCTAAAACTGCTCTAATTTAATTATAAAAAAATACAATCCATACCACAATAAAAAAAAAAATCTAAAACTTTCAGCAACATGCCTTGAGGGCTCTCTGACTGGACCCTGTATGAGCCAAAGAGACACAGAGGTGACAGGAGCTGCCCTCCATGTTCTGGCTGGTCCAAAGCTAGCTGTGCCCCTCTGGACCCTGCCTCCCCACAGGGCAGCTTCTAATGACCTCATCCCCACCTCCCAGAAGACTGCATTAGTCCCACCTCCTTCTTGGTGTTCTTCATTGTCTGTGTTCTTCATTGTCCATATTCTTCATCGTCAAGTTGGGTTTGAATGTTCAGGTCCAGGAATCGTTCCTTCATGTTCTTCATTGTCAAGTTTTTTGGTGTTCTTCATTGTCTTCATGTTCTTCATTGTCAAGTTTTGTGTTTTTCATTGTCAACTGAATTTTGTATCTCTCATAGTGAGATGGAAGTAGCAATGCTGCTACATCACCACCCATGCTTCACAATCCATTGCTCTTTGGAATCTACTATATTGTGGCCACACAGGTCTTCTTGACTCTCTAGTTCCTTAATGCTGTAGATGTACTGTGGCCTGGAATCCTCTGGTGGCACAAATGATGAAGAGCTCCACTACTAACTGAAAGGCTGGCTGTTCAAAGGCACCCAGAGGCACCTTGAATGAAAGGCTTGGTGACCTACTTCTGAAAGGTCTACTAGGTTCACATGGGGTCACCACGCGTCAGAATTCACAGAGCAGCCACCAGCAACAGCACTGTTGGTCATGTTGTTGCCTGGGACATGTTGTGAAGGCTGGCTTCTAATGATTCTCTCTTTGCTTCTTGTTATTGTTAGGTGCCATCAAGTTGGCACCAACTCATAGCCACCATATGCACAACAGAGAGAAACACTGCCCAGCTCT